ATCAAGTTTGAAAGCTAATAAATTATACGTATAGAACTAAAGTTATTAACAACTTCAACTAGAGATAGGAAAGTGAATTTCCAGGACAAAATAATCTTTCCTCATTTTAAAAATTAAGTTTTAATGCTTTTCTAAAAAGAATTTATGTAGAAGTAAAGCGAAGTTCTGTTTTCCTACCTAAATCATAGAAAGCATATTTCCAAAAGGGACTTCTTAAATAATCTTGACAACTACTATTTAATCTGGCATGAATGATTTTAAAACACTTTCACTTACCCGGTTATAAAGCTGTGTATACATGGTCATAACAAAAATGAAGGCAGCATGAATACAACCCAGTGGTGCCAAAAGGAGAAAGAGCGTGAACGAAGCATGATTCTGGTAACCGCAACAGTTGTTGATCCAAGGACAGTGATGGTCCATCTTCATCACACACCTAACAAGAAAAATGTATATAAAACATGAGGCAGAAAATCATGTCTCCTTTAGGAAACTTTGGTCTTCAAAAGATCAAGCAAATAGAATCCAGCATGTCCGTGAGTCACAGAGGAATTATACTTATGGAACCGATAGAAAAATCTTTGAGTTTTTAAACAGTTCTAAACAGTGACTTATTTTAAATTCTAAACAGCACATAAAAGGACAGCCTTTGTAACAGCTTCTGAGGAAAAGATGTCTGCTACTTGTGAGTTTGTTTAAAGAAGGCAAGAGGCTCACTGAGAAAGGTTCATTATAAGGAAACCAGCATGGTTCTTGGTTTTTCTCTGGCTCTGAAATGCAGGGACTGAAGTGTAGTACATTAGAGACTCAACAAAATCACTTATAAATCTCCACTGGGGTTGACAGGCCCTAGCAGACTCTTGTAACTTACTTCCTTCCTGTCCTCAGCCTTTAAATGTGGAATCTCTAAGCTAAGCAAGCAACTATGGAATATAAGATGTGTAATAAACAAAGTCTTACTGAGCTTCATTCCCTTTTTGTTGCTAGAAGAAAATGTCGTGGCCTCAAATTAACTTTATTTGCCTCCAGGGTTCTCCTAAACCTCAAAAATCTTATCAGAAATTTCTTACTAATCAGTGGATTTAACTCTTCATTTTTAAAGTTTCTAGCTTAGTTCACATTTTTGTAGTGATAACGTTTTTCTTCCCATTAAGTTTTTTTATTAAACACCTGTGATAACAGACACCTGGAATCATTAGATTTGTATAAAGTATAAATGTTAATTTGTACAAAGTATAATGTTAACAAGGGAAAAAGCAGCTCTTCATTATAATTTGGACTCAGAACAATTCCAAAGCTAGTCAAGATGACAGTCGACAAGCAAAATTAATCTTAACCTATGGAAACAACTTGAAGGTGTAACTTTTTACCATGCTCTTGGCAGGGCAAGAAGCAAAGCAAATCTGTATTTTTCTAGAAAAATCTTTTCACTTATAACAAAAGTGAGATGATCAGAATTGATAATTTAAGAATAAAACGGACATGCTGGATACTTAAGTTTATTTCGACAATACTTTTTATAAAGTAGCCACCTTGCAGAGTATAAAACTAGGATTGATGTGGCAGAAAAAAACAACAAAAGACCAGTCTCCAAGGGGATCAGACCCCGATGAATGGTAAAGACAGATGGTACCTGTTACACTTTCGGCAGTGATGTGACCGTGGCGCCTTGTATGCTTGGCAGACTTTACAATACTGGAGGTACATGCTATCCTGAGAATTTTCCTTGGTGGCAAGATATAAACAAAAAACCATCAGATAATCGATCTTAAGTAATAACAAGCCTTACGAGCAAGAGCTTTCCTATGGTTTGATTTCCTTTTATGGAGAAGGTTGAAGAAGGGAATCTTAACTTCCATTTCCAGCCCTTTGATTTGAGCTAAATTATTTTTAAGTAATGAATTTTTGGTTCAGCATCACTCTCCCAATTACCCAGAAGTCATTTTAAATTTCTCTTCTTCGTCCTCCACCCAAATCTGCTGTCACTGAGTACAGTTTGTTCTACTATCCAAAATCTTAGAAGAAAAGTCAGAGTTCAGGAAGAAGGTAGCTGACAACCTGGCAGGTACCGCAGAATGGGGATTCGAGCACCAGAATTGATCCTCTTAATAATATAATATTCCTATAACACAACTCTTGACTATGACAGAGCTCTTCTTGAAAACCTCTAACTCCCTAGGCCTAAGAATTTCTTGTGTATTTGAGGCCTTCCATAATCTGCCTTTGTTTCAGCCTTATCTGCACTACATAATCTGTCTGCTGTTTCTGAAGACACTCTTCCACCATTCTCTGAATCTAAAATGTCTTCTTCATCGCCTGTGGAAATTCCCACAGCTCCCGTAGGTCCCCAGCTGAAAATGATCAGTTCCTTCTAATTCCAGCAGCACTCACCACGTTCTACTCTACAGTTCAGTTATTTGCACAAGCGCCTTGGTTTCTCTCCTCAGTTACAAGGCTTTCCAAAATATGAACTGTCTTACCCATTTCTGTACCCACTTCATATAATACACTAGTGTTTCCCCAATTTTAACAAACCTAAGAATTATCAGGAGATTTTGTTAAATGCAGATTCCGAATCAAAAGGACTGGAGTACAGCCCAAGAGTCTGCATTTCTAACAAGCTACCAGGTGATGTCCCTCGACAAGAAATACAGAAATCCATAAGCATAAATTTTCTAAAAAATTTTAAGAAACTATAAATTGATTCACATAGTACTTCCCAATTTTCACTGCAATGATTTTAAAACTTTATGATTTAAACAAGCATTTTCTAGAGAATTTTCCTCAGTTCGGAGGATTTTAATGTATTACATGTAAAAAGATCCTAGAGCCAAACTGTACTGTGAAATTATAAAAGGTCTATGATACAGTTTCCTAAATTCATGATCATGGACTCATTTCCCCCTCCATTTTTGTTTTAAATGCCTGCATTAAAGTATTCAATGAAATTGCTTTGGAAAATACTAATTTAGATATTTTCAAACAAGTATGAAATATATTATTTGAGCTTTAAATAATCAGGGACTAGAATATGCTTAGTCTCTAGCAAGGCAAAAACCAGGGTATATGTTTGATATTATTAGTTAGAAGATAAAGCAAAAACTAAATATGTGATAATCTAATATTAGAGTTCATCATCTAAAAGGATCTTTTTCTTACCGGTTTCCACCCCAAAGGGACAAAGCCAGGACCAATAAACATGGCATTGAAGTAATTATAAAGAATCATGACAGTCCAATTTATCAACATGATGAAATTCACGCTTCCTCCAGTTGTATGTAAGGGCCAATACCACAACACAGAGTCAATCATGGCCATTGTAGAACATATTGCTATAACACCGAGGGCTATAATGGGACCCCAGTGACACAGTCTCTTTAATTCTTGGAGATTTTCAAACTTGATGATGGAGCAGAAAGTACTCATTTTGGTGAGGAAGAATGCCTTCCTAGCTTTAAAGAATTACAGCTTTCCTTTTTCTGTGCACACATTTCCATGTACCACAAGTCCATGTGTGTTCCTTAATTGACATGCCTTCATGTCGTGCGATGTTAATGCAGATTATGCCATTTTCACTGTTACACACTCAGAGGTCTTTAACTAGGAGATTCCAGTATCTTGGTTTGAAACCCAATCTAAAGAAAATAGAATGAGAAAGTTCAGTACAAAAATTTATTATATACTATATTTAACTTCAATAACCACCTAAATAAAAATATCTCACAAGTGCACTACCATGGAGTGAGTATCTTGTGAAGTGCTGAGAAGAACTGTTTTTATCCTATCTAAAATATGATTCGTCTAAATGGCTTGTAAACTGGATACATGATTATCAGGGGACTGACTGATTGTCCAACGTTTAGTGAATGGTTTGGGGAGACAAAGATTTTCCCAGCTGGGAAGCAGGGCTTTAGGGTTGATCTAATCCAACTACCTTCTTCATAGAAAAGAAATTAGCTTAGAGAGGCTATGTGATTACACCAAGGTCACGGGTAACAGCTGAACCCAGAATAGAAACCAAGTCATCGAACTCCCTTTGTGGAGTTCTAAACTACCTCTTACCGAATCTCAAATTAAGTATGAGCCAGACATGGTCTACACTATTTGCCTCCGGTTGCTCCCGAAACACCAACGTAAGAGTCTATCTGCGCCAAAGGTAAGGAACCAAGAGAGTGAAAACGCCGCCTTGTTACTTGTGTGGGGGAGGGGAGACAGAGGTGTGTGTGAAATCATGTCTGGGGGCGTATATGAGAAAAAACATGAATGAGAACATTTGGGGGGCGGGGGGAGAGAAGAGGAAGTGCCTCCGGGAGCGAGGGGCTGAAAAGACCGGAAGGTGAGCTCCGAGATTTGGAGACGGGTATTTCCGATGAGACTGCAGCAAGTCAAGGGAAGATCTGCGGTACAGAGTAAAAGACTTCCACGCAACAGATGGGTCTGCCTTGTGCCTCAGTTTCCCGCCCATGTCATGGAGTAGAGCGCTTATAAATCCTCACTCAGGGAAAGAACATCCTGGTAAGCGTGCTTGGTCCCAAAGTACTGGAGACTTTGACCTCACTCGGGTGCGGTGAAGACCGCCAAAATCATGGTTACATCCCCAGCCTTGACTCCCACCTCAGTCTGGTCCTTGGTGCCCGGTCCTCGGCCATCGCATTTCCGGGGCGGCCTGGTATCACCCGGAACAGGTTTTCTCCTTTTCGGGTAACTCCATTATGGGTACCTCAGTCCAGAGCAAGCAGAAAGCAAATCCTGATTTTAGAAGCTTGAATTAGGAGCCCGCAAGGACCCGTTCGTCTCTCCGCTTGCACTCTCACCGTTCCTCTCCCGCTCAGGACCCGTGCGCAGTCTCCGTGAGAGCCACTTCCGGGAGTTTCGCCGCATCAAACTTCCCTCCGGAAGCAAGCTCCTGTGACCTGTAGCTTGAGGACAGGGAGCTACTTTGTAGAACATGAAGAGGCAAAAAAAAAAAAATTAAATGCTTTCAGTGATCCCTGAGAACCCAAATATTTTGGGAGGCACTTTGGGGCACTAATTTAAGTGCTTTTCCTTAGTTATTTTCATAATTTCGTAGCCTTCACAGAAAATAAAACGCGCACTCTGTCCAATTTCCGGAGGACCGAGATTGTGTAGGACAACCAGGAAGCGGCCGGGCTGGGAGCTGTCCCCGGCTCTCCGCTCTGCTCTCGAGGGCAATTCCCAGGGTCCTTACACTGTGTTCTCCTACACAGCGTGATTCCCTGCCCCGATCCAGGCTCCCGCCCGGGCCAATCACTCTGGAGCCACCATGTCTTCCGACTTCGAAGGCTACGAGCAGGACTTCGCGGTGCTCACTGCAGAGATCACAAGCAAGATTGCGAGAGTCCCCCGACTCCCTCCTGGTGAGAGCCCTGTGCGGCTGGGCGAGGGTGGCCCGCAGAGTCGCGACTCTCAGGTGGTGGGCAATGGAAAGCCGTCTGCACAAGTGTGTCTGAGGCGCGAGGCTGGAGTGAAGTGGTGTTGGGGCCCTCCCGGAGGGATGGAGCTTGATTTGGTTTGACGGTAAAGGGACGGTCCAAGCTGGCTTGTGGAGTGCAGTGTAAAGAGCCCTTCTGGGCTCCAAGTACACGTTTCGCCGCCTTGTTACTTGTGTAATCTTGGGAAAGTTTCTATGAGTCTTAGTTTTTTGTTGCTGTTTTTTTGTTTGTTTGTTTTGTTTTTTGGCGGGGAGAAGGGTTCGTTTGTAAAATATAGCGATATGAGAATATTTGAAAAGAATGAATGAACATACCTAGATTATAGGTCTGACATTGTTTTATTAGTAATGACGTTATTATTACATGTAGCAAAACAAGATTAAGAACCATAGTGCCTGGATTCAAATCCCAGCTCTGCCACACAGAAGTTGTGACATATAGGCAAGTTTCTTAACCACTCTCAACTTTCCTTCTTGGTAAAATGGGGAAAATTGTATATCTCTCATAGGGTTGCTGTGTAGATTAAATTATTTGACATATATAAAGCTTTTCCTTGGTGCTAGTTGCCATTATCATTAGTGTTTTTCATACCCCCCAACCCCATTTATTATTTCTCATTTGTCTTGGGAGTAGGGGGAATTCTATAACCCAATTTTATGTAAAACTTAGTACAGGATAATTTTTCTCACTTTTCAACTTCCATCCAGAAGTGTTTTTATTTTTGTTTTTGTGTTTTAGCACATGTTATTTTCTATGCTAGATGGTCAACTATGTGCAGGTGGGAGTTAAATTTGATTTCGTTGGCATTTACTTAGAAGGGGCTCAGATAAAATGTTTAAGTGAATGAACAAATATATAAATGTGATGTTTTGTGATTTTTGTTCGTAAGACATTGTTTTAGGCGTTGTCTTTCTCTAAATACAGATTTAATTTGAGAGTTAGTTGCAGATAATTGTTACTTTTTGGTTTTGTTTCGCTAGGGAAATTGAACCATCATCAGGATACTAGACTTGGCCCTACCTTAGCTCTGGGGTGTAAAGCATAGGACAAGGAGTGCTTGTTGATCTGTGAACTGATGGGCACATATCACAGTCCCACCTTGTTAGTCAATCATCGATGCCAGCAGTAATTTCTACTGGACCTAAGTTGTCATTC